TATATATATATATATATTGCAATATATATATATAATATATATAGCAATATTACAACTAACACCGAGATTTCGTGACGTTTTATTATCTGACTTTCTGTCTTACCCTCTCTACCAAACTCTCTGTAATAAACGATGTTATAACAACACGATATTTCACCGTATTATACGTAGCACTTTAATAATGGACCTCGTATAAAGACAGGTAGTGGATTAACAATAATTAGTTCTGCAAACACAGGTGCCCCTCCTAACTATGACACATTATTCATAGATATTGTTCCTTCCGTTCGGTGAATTACTGTTCGTTAGTGTACGCGCGTGTACGGCTGCGTGAATAAATGACGGCCAGGTAGGGATGGAATGGCTCACCTATGAATAGGTCGCGGGACTAATATACCTATGATACATCCGCAATATGTTACCTATGTGTAATCAACGCGCGCCCAAATAGATCCGACCGTAGAACGGCAAATTTACATCCCTTCCTGACGTTACATCACATCCGGTGCAGCGCAAATTTCACGTGCGCATCGGTGACCGTTCCTGCGCGTGCGCATGCGCGCGGGGCGGGGATGTCACGACTGAGCATGCGCATGCGCGGAGCGCGGATACTCACTACTGAGCGCAGTCGATAAGTAGAAATTCGTTTGAGCGTTGGTATGCTCTCTGCACGCCCGGGTCCTTCCACAGCTCGGCTGCGTCCGCGAAAAACTCCTGCCGAGATAAAATAAAGATGGCGCGTTTTCAAGGAGAGGCGTTCGTGTGTGAGAGCGGACAAACACTCGCGATAAGTGCGTGCAAACAGAGGCGGCGGCGAGGTGGTGGTGGTGGGGGGGACAGAGNATCACCTTACAAATACATTCTTGCAGCATATAACGTCGTCTATTACACATATTATCATCGTCACAGAAGACGACAACATATCACAAGATGCAACGTCGATTGGTATTCTTGCGCACGCCCGCGAGTCTTACCAGAAGGCTGCCTTGCCTCCGCCCATAGATCTCGGAACGGAAACTATGAACTCGATCTTGGAGATGTCGGTAGTGCGGACACGGCATTGAAGAATATCCTGGTCGGAAGGAATGTAGTCTTCCTGTCGCACCGTCTCTATCCTGTCAAGGAAGCTGCGGCAGAAGGAAGATGCAGGAGGAGTTACAACGGAAGCCATGATGAGTAGTAGGCGCACGAGTTAACCAACGTGTCTGCACGCGTGCGTGTGTGCGCGTGCGTGTGCGTGTGTGGGTGTGCGTGTGAGCGTATGCGTGTGTGCGTGTGAGTGTGCGTGTGTGCGTGTGAGTGTATGCGTGTGTGCGTGTGAGTGTGTGCGCGCGTGCGTGTAGGTGTATCGGTATGAATGTGTGCGTGCGCGCGCGCGTGTGCGTGTTTTGGTGAATCTGGGAATAAGCGTGTGCGTGTGTATGTGCGTCTGCGCGTGCATGAGTACGCGTGTGTGTGTGTGTGTGTGTGTGTGTGTGTGTGTGTGTGTGTGTGTGTGTGTGTGTGTGTGTGTGTGTGTGTGTAGTGTGTGTGTCGTCGCGCG